GCAAATTGGAGTTGTGTCCCCGGTCTGAGCGGACTGAGACTGGTGTCACATGTCAGGGTCATGATGTCTCCTTTCAAGACCTCAGTAGTCCTTATATTCAGCACCGGGGTGGGAAACAGCTCTAAGGAAAATATTAAAAAAATAACTTTTTGAATGAGTATTTATATTCTGTATACATTTTGGAACAATTTTTCTCTAATTATTATCAATTGGTTTTGCCCAAAATATTTAAAAACTTTGGAAAAGGCAATATCAGGTATAGAAATTCCATAAAATTCTGCTGCCCCTCCCTATAAATCTCTAGAAGCTTCCCCAGCATCTGCAGGACAGAATTGTACGGGTTGGGTGACATCTATAACTCTGCACAGGACGCCTTGTATCCTGAGGCTGGCGGTATCATTGTGATCTGTTCAGGAATAAATCATATTCACCTTTTATCACAATCGGGAGGAAGTGACTACTTTTCCTCGCTTTGCCATCCGATGTTCTCACGTCACAGGAATAATTCCCAGAATCCTCCAGCTGAGCGGACTGGACTCCATATTGATTGGAGGAACCGAATTCCTGAACATTCCGTCCATCTCTGTAGAAAGCAAATTGGAGTTGTGTCCCCGGTCTGAGCGGACTGAGACTCGTGTCACATGTCAGGGTCATGTGATCCCCTTCTACCTCCGGATATTGGTTTCTGATGATTTTTGGTCTTTCAGGAATAAATCATATTCACCTTTTATCACAATCGGGAGGAAGTGACTACTTTTCCTCGCTTTGCCATCCGATGTTCTCACGTCACAGGAATAATTCCCAGAATCCTCCAGCTGAGCGGACTGGACTCCATATTGATTGGAGGAACCGAATTCCTGAACATTCCGTCCATCTCTGTAGAAAGCAAATTGGAGTTGTGTCCCCGGTCTGAGCGGACTGAGACTCGTGTCACATGTCAGGGTCATGTGATCCCCTTCTACCTCCGGATATTGGTTTCTGATGATTTTTGGTCTCTCTGCAGAGAAGGAGATTCAGGGAGGAACATATATGATATTCTTTTCCAGATAAATCAGTGCAACAAATACAAATACATTCTTCTGTGAGGCTGGAAAACCTATTGGAAAGCTTTGTTGGAGCCGATGCTGAAGCATAACTTTAAGGAAAAGCAAAGAAACATGGGCGACATTGTTACATAGTTAGTCAGGTTGAAAGAAGACACAAAGCCACCGAGTTCATTGACATAAAATAATAAAATATGAACATTATCCGGCGTCATCCATAAGATTTAGTAGAATCCCATCACTTCAAGGACAGCCACATGTGTCACCATCTGTCATTCTGTATGAGACTAACTCCTTCTGCTGCCATCCAATTGGAGTTCCCCGCCTGCAGCTGCACATAAGCAAAGGGACGGGATGCAGTGATGTCATTGACCTTATATGGCCACATGGCTACATTTGGCTAATTACATTGACCAATTATGCCCATGTGCCCAATCCCTGCACTGGCTTCCACTCGCCCAGAGGATAAAATAAAAAATATTAACAGTCACTTATAAAGCCATCCACAACTCCGCCCCCGGCTATATCTCAGACCTCGTCTCAAAGTATCACCCTAACCGTCCCCTCCGCTCCTCCCAAGACCTCCTGCTTTCCAGCTCCCTCGTCCACTCCTCCCATACTCGCCTCCAGGACTTCTCTAGAGTCTCTCCCATCCTCTGGAACTCTTTACCCCAACCTGTCCGTCTATCTCCCACCTTGACTGCCTTTAGGCGATCCCTTAAGACTCATCTCTTCAGGGAAGCCGATCCCAACATTCTCAAACAATTCATCCCCCACACAGCTACCTCCTCATGTATCATTTCCCCCTCCTCTTTCAGATTGTAAGACCTCACGGGCAGGGCCCTCCTTACCATCCTGTCTTGAATTGTATTGTGATTGTAATGTCTTCCTTACATTGTAAAGCGCTGCGCACACTGTTGGCGTTATAAAAAACCTATGTAATAATAATAATATAAGGTCAATGACAAGCACAAGCATCCCACAGGTGACTGGGTGGGTGAGCATCCCTTAGGGTTAGGGTTTGGGTTATGCTAAGATGCTATGGAGTTCATCCCTAGTCTATACTTGAAGAGTACAGTAATAGCTAAACATCACTGTATTCTTCTCCTTCTGTTGGGTCCATGTAAGACTTGTCACCACAGGAGGGAATAGTCTCTCACAGAATGTCCGCCTACACCACATAACCCACTAAGGTACCCGAGTCTTGTGATTTGGGTTTATATAACTTTCCTCCATCCCCCGGCCGGTCCCGTGACTGACTCACCATTTATCTGGATCTTTATCTCCTGACTCCTCTTCTGTACACTGTTGGTTGTCACTTCACATGAATATTTCCCAGAGTCCTTCACCTGAGCGGACTGAACTCCATATCGGTTCGATGAAGAGAATTCTCCGACATTCCGTCCATCTCTGTAGAAAGCAAATTTCAGTTCTGTCCTCGGTCTGAGAGGACTGAGCCTCGTGTCACATGTCAGGGTCATGTGATCTCCTTCTACCACTGACTTTGGGGTCACTGTTATCTCTGGAACTGCAAATAGCTCTAAAAAAATGATCACAAACACAAACTGTATCAGTCATTTTATCTTCTGTATTGTTGGACATTATGGAGTAAGTCACATGATCGTCTCCGCCTTTTGGCTAAGATCAAGTGTAGTATCTGTTCTT